AATGTCAAAGACTCCCTGTCTGCTCTGTTTCCAGACTGGTCCTCTTGAAGTGCTGGAGCTGCTGAAACACTCTTAAGGTTTGCAAATCAAAATCACAGTGCTAGAGAAATGCAATTCATCATCTGAAGGCTTGAAGGAATGATTTGTGAGGTTTGCGATCTGTGCCAAACGTTTCTTGATGCTATTTTGTGTGTTTTCAGTGTGTGTTTCACTGAGATTATTGGACTGTACAAAATACCTCCTGAAGAGATTTCTGAAAGCTGGTAAGGAATCAAGTTAGCATCCTGCTTTGTGCAAGGGGTGAAGTTGGCAAGATAGGGTGTCCAAACAAGGACTCTGGCCAAGTTGTGCATTACCTAAGCTTCAGCAAGGACACTGAGACACCCCTGGAGTGTCAGCAAGGCATCTTCTGACACAATTTAGCTGCCAGAGAACCCAAACTGTTTCAATTAGAAAACAAATCTGGGGACTGGGACAGAGCACAGGCTCAACTATACTTTTGTCTTTTTTTCTTTAAAAGTTACTTTAATGGTTTTTTGCATAGAATTTTAAGTAAGTTTTAAACAAACAAAATATAGGAACAAGTAATAGGTTTATTCCATGCTGAAAGGAGAAGAAGGAAAACAATGGTTCAGCTGAGGAGCTTTCTTCAAGTGTAAGTACCCACCTGAACTAAAAAACATGTACAGTATATGTATTAGCAAAGGTAAAGTGGCATGTTTATGTGTAATCCTGAATCTCTCTTGCTGGTAATTTGTGGCTGGAAGCTGTTCTGGTGAAGTCAGAGGACGAAGCTGATGAATTATGGCGTGGAATTAAATGGAGTTTTCATGATTTGGCCTGGTATTCCCTGAGGCAAGATGATGCCAAGGAGGTTAATATGTTTTCATAGAAGCCTGGGTCTCCCTGCCAAATGCCAGCTCTCATAAGGGAGGGAGTCATGAAAGTAATCCTGAACAATCCATCAGCAGCTGCACACACACACTTAATCCCGGGACACAGCCTGCACAAACTCAACGAATTGAAAAGAAATCTTTTCTTCCACTGTGCTAGTCGCAGTAGGTACTGTAAGTCTGCCTCTGCTGACCCATATGTGCTCACTACAGGAATGGAGACTAGAAGTCATGTAACGTGGGGCTTCAGTTTTCTGTTAAAGTAGCGTGCACCCGTCGGTACCACTGGCACAATCGAGGAAACTGGAAAGCAGCCGAAGGGTGTGTGGCGTGGGGCGTCTCGATCAGGTTTGTGCCTGCCCTGGTCAGGTCGCACAGTGAGCGCCGTGCTTTCCCCCTAAAAACAATATGTCTTGAGGACGTCTGGCATGGAAAGCACAACGTGTGCCAAAGCCCTTTAAATAATAGCAGAACCAGAGGACACACAGTAAGTGGAAACAGCATGGAAGCGTAAATAAAAGCCAAAGCAGGAGGCTCTTCTCGGCCCAGAGGGTCACACGGCCGTGTTGCTGAAGCCGATTTCTTTCAAGAAAGGGCTGGATCTGGATGAGATCCTCAGATTCAAACTACCAGAGTTTCCACATGAAACCCCCTCTTGTTTGTAGCTTTTCCTGTGTTCTTATGGGTTAATGCTCTTAGTCTTTCATACCCTGGGCCAAAGGCCATGTCCGAAGGCACTTCCTGCAGTGCAGTGGGCCCAGTCACACTACATGGGCATTTGATAGCGCTGGTCTAGAAGGAGGAGCGCCACCTACTGGTCCACCAACATCATGCAAAGTAACAATGTGGTTTTCCTTAAAGGTGTTCTGCTGGGTTATGATCAGGCCCAGCTTTTCTCATCTTCTGAGATCTGGGTTCAAGAAGGTATTGATCCTCTCATTGTCCATAGAAAGCTGTCTCTAGAACTGCCAGCTGTCCATTACAAACATCATCAGTGGTATGTTCTTCTTCCCCTCAAAAAGCAAGTCCTGTGATACGTATAGTATTTTGTGGAGTTAGTCATAGCCCAACTTTTGTTGTTTCTCTGAGAGAATAAATTATAGTGAACACAAAATAAAAGTATTTTTGATGTGTTTGTTTAAAGTAAATATTAAGGGTTTATAAGATAGATTGGTTGGCTGCATTCTTTCCAAAATGTGCAGATCTCCAGGGAAGAGATGGTGTAATAATGACATAACTGGGTTGTGCTGCCAGTGCAGTCCTCCAGTGTCTGTGCCCGTTAACTACAGTTTAATTGAATATTCTGTTTGGTAAGGGTGTCCCTGCACATCTGCTCAGTGAAGATGACACTCAGTAATTGAAACAATGCAAACCGCTCAGAATGGGCTTTGATATTTGTGTTAGTGCTTCTGGTAAGTGTTAGTAAAAGTAAGGCCAGCCAGGCACTTTCTGACAAACTATGAATAATTCTGGCTGATTTCCTTTGTAATAGTGTGCAAATTCTTCTAAAATACAGGAGAAATTAAGTTTTATAACCTGCAAAATATTATTATGCAGATAAGAAGTATTTTATGCAGATTTCATATTCAATATTCACTGGATTCATATTTTGGGAACAGACTGTGTCTTCAGGAGTGTCAGGGTCCCCGACAGTCAAATGAATAACATCTTCTCTCGTTCTGTGCAGCGGTTTCTCACTTGGTCAAATCCTCCTTCCTGCTGAATTGCTGAGGACTCTTATACTGTATGTCTGTTGTCCCCAGACATTCTGAAACAGCTTGATTTAGCCCAGGTTGAATTGAACAACTAAGAAAAAAAATTAAGATGAATTTCTGAGAATTTAATAAATAAGCATTTCTGAAACAACGTTTACAAATACACAGAATACGCTCGTGTGGACAGTAGAAAACAAACACCATTCAGACTACAATATATTGCTTTCTCTTTGTTAATCCAACCTCTTACAAACTAGGGGGAGATCATACAATCATGCAGAGGCAGCAGTGCTAACCACTGCTTCTGTGTGATTTCACATTGTTTAAACAAGAACATGTGACAGGGTGCAGATGAGAGGGGCCTTGTGGCCTGCTTAGCCCATTTGGTAGTTAGTAGTTAGTAGGATTGTTGGATACTAAAATACTGATAGTGTATCAGTAGCTAATTGTTCCCAGAGTCTCTTCCAGATGTTCTTTGCAAGAAAACAGCTTCAACAGCTTAGCAGGGCAGCTTGTTCCACACTCCCACAACTCTTTGGGTAGACAAGTGCTTCCTGTTCTTGTTTTTGAACACACCTCCATGTACAACAGTTTATGCTTGTTCCCTTTGGTTTGTTTCAGTCTTCATTCTGAAGAAGCCCACTGGGTTGACTTTATATTAAAATAAAAAATAGCGTATCTTGTGAAAGTCTGAGTAATTTACAGTACACTTGAAAAGTTTTACAGGCTTATTGTTAAGTAAGGATTATAATTCCCACAAATACTTTTAAGTTAAAAATGAATTATAGATGCCCATCATGGTGTCAATTTAGACTAAAAACTAAATTATAGTAAAATACAGTATAACTAAGTTATCTTTATTCCCACAGCTTCTAACCGGCTTAATTTGGACAATTGGTGTGTACTTTATTTTTTCATCTCACATACAGTATATGTTTGTGTCTGTTAATGGCTTTATGTGGTGTTAAATGTATTGTGTATTGCGTTATGTCTCTTTCTGCCTGCGAAGCGAATTTCCCATGTGGGGCGATAAAGGAAGTAAGCAAGTGAGTGGCAAGGCTTTGATGAAGCCTCCACCAGTGTTTCCTATCCGTGCTGAGGCAGGAGGGGATCTTTTCCTATTGGCCAGAAGGCGCATTGCCCTCCCTGCGGTGTCTCGGCCAGCAGCAGCGGGTGCCACCATTAGTAGTAAACTTATAAAGGAGCACCGCGTTAATTTCATATAAATTATTATTGTTGTTGAAGAAGAATAATACAGCAGTAGCAGTGAAGCTTGCTCGAACAGAACCATGTTCAGAGTTAAAAAAAAAAACGATCAAACAGCGCAACACGCCTAAAAGACATTGTGTGACTGAAGTTGCCACAAGATGGGCTTCGCCCCCGCGGAGCACAGGCGCGCTGCGCGCTGTCTCTGTCTCTGGATGCCGGTGTCTCAGCGCGCCTGTGGCGAATTCCGTTCTTCGCTTGAGCATTGAATTCACTTGCATCCCGGCCGTCGAGCTACCCAGTGAGATATGATATTGCCCATTTGAATGCTGTCCCATTTCACCCACAACGTCGTCTTTATTTCCCTTCTCGCGCATTGTTCTTCAGCGTGTTTCATGTTATTTTACGGTCTTTATCTCCTCTGCATCACAGACCGCTGCGCTCCGTACACCACCAGATTCCACCATTAAGCCCTATCTGGCACCAGTGGACACGCTCCCCGAAGTCCAGATGGACAGGAGGAAGACTCGCTGGAAAAGGCTCAGAAGAAGAAAACATACAGTAAACTCCAGCGAAGGCGCAAAACTCCCCATCTGCTGCCCGGAGAAGGGTTTTTGCGGTTGGT